AAGAGGCGTAATTGTCAAGAGCAGTAACAGGAGAAATATGGTGAACACACTCGATCGCAATGTCGGGGTATCACTGATGCCTTGCGATCGAGTGCTTTGGTTTAGGGGAAGGCTACAGTTTGAAATTTTTATTGAACATACTCGATCATGAGATCGCATGATCGCCGAGCTCAACAACCTGCTGGGGTTGCAATTGAGCACGATGATGAGGAGATGGCGGAAGCGCAGCTAGGACCTGTCATGCCTACGGATTACACTCAAGGGGAGATGGATGACTACATCTCCAGGCAATTTTCCTGAGGTAACACACCAAAACACAATTGTAAATACCGTTTTTGTTTTTGTTTCTTGTGTTTATCTTGAATTCTTTCACAAATTTTTATTACACAAGGGACTGTGTAATTTAAGTTTGGGGGAGGGTTCAAGACGTATTTGACTTGTTTTTTGTGAATATCATTTGAGTCTGCATATCATCTAAAACATAGAGAAAACAAAAAATTTGAAAATTTCTGAAAATGTATTCCACAAAAACAGAGTGCTCATGTAGCTGCATTGCATTTAGGATCGAGTCTAGAGTGTTTCATTTAGGATTGTTGCATATGCATAGGGGATAATGAGGAAATAACCTTGTAAGCATGTTGATTTACTGAATAAACTCAATGCCCTCGTTACTAGTTGTCTGATGCATTTGAATGACTTTGAAGTAAAACTGCACCATGTTCTATAGAAACCACTCGATAGCATGTCATGAAACCTTTCCCTGTCAATTTGAACTTGAATCTGACTTATAATTATCATGTTTGCATCGGTTTTGAACTCGTGTATAGAATACATACTTGGATTTTCTTTCACTTATTCACCACTCTTGTTAATCCAAGTAGCTGCTTCTGTTATTGGAGTAGTTTCCCCACCCTTAACCAACCCTTCTTTCAAGCCATGTTATTTGTGAGAGCATGTGAGGCCTATTTCAGGATTGAGCTTGGTAGAACGTGTTAGGTTTGAGCCGACAAGAGTAGAATCTCATGTAGTTCCAATCCGCGTTTTCGGACTTGGTAGGACTAGGTGGGAACTTATTTGGGATTGAGATTGAGTGTGAAAAGAAAAAAAAAAAAAAAATAGGTTAAAGTCTTTAGGAGAAGGAAGCTGAAAATCATACTCAGGTCTAGTGAATATTTGGGAAGTAAAGAATTGTTAAGTTATGCTCTAAAAAAAAAAAAAGATGGCAACAAAAACAGAAAAGATTATAAGAGCCATAAGAGTTTAAGAAAAACCAATTCACTAGACTAGACTCATAGAGTATAAGAAAGTTTCTCCTTAAGAACAAGAGCCAAAGAAAAGAAAAGACAGATTGATCCAAGAAAAATATCGAAATATGCCTTTAGTGCAAAAGGGTAGACTTAGGATCATCAATGGGTTTAGAAATAGGACCATCTACTTGTTATTCACAGTTTATGTCATTGGGTAGATGGGATGCTATTCTTGTATGCATAGGTTGGCACTTACCTTTAGCATTCTTCTAAAGCTCAGTTTATTCTTATTGAGAGTCCCCTGTTATTAAAATCTGAACCACCTTAAAGGGACCATCTTTGTCTCATAACCTGTCCTTAGCCAAACGAGTTCACTAACGTTGCACAGCTTGATTCATGATTTTGAACTTAATGAATGTTAAAGGGATTGGTTGATTTTGACGCATTATGCAATTGAGTGTGAGTTGGATCTTGACAGAGCATGGCTAAAGTTTTTAAGTAGAAGTCGTTCACCTCGCATCTTAGAACTATTAACTTGGACATTGAGCTTAATTACTTCATCACGTGTTTTGGTTCTGAGTCCCCAACTTCAAACCTCTCCTGCCACTTATGTTTTCTTGTTTGCTTGAGGGCAAGCAAAGACTAAGTTTGGGGGAGTTGATATGTCTATAATTTACATGATTTAAGCATTCATTCTTCATCACTTTGTCATTGTTTCAATCACATTTCATCTCATTAGTAGTCGTTTTAGTGTGTTTTGCATATTTAGGACGTTTTTGCAATAGGATTGCATGTGCATCGCATATTTGGTTGTTTTCAGGTACTTTGGATGCTTTTGGAGTTCAAACAGAGGAGAAACAGAACAGAAATTCAGAACGCTCAATCACTCCCTCAGCCAAAGCACTCGATCGCAACCTCGGAGCCCTGACAGAGCAAAGCACTCGATCACAACCCCAGAAACTGTCATGAAGGGCAAAACCACTCGATCACAACCCCGGAGCAATTTCAGAAGAAACCACTCGATCGCAAGATCGAGCAGAAGCTGTCATGAAGGACATATCACTCGATCACAACCCCGGAGAAGCCAGCAGCTTAGTTTCACTCGATCGCAAGCCCGGAGGGATCACCCACTCTACACCACTCGATCACCACCTCACGTCATCTACTCGATCGCACCACTCGATCGCAAGGTCGCTGGACCATTCCATCTCGTCTTCACTACAGACCACTCGATCGCAAGACAGAGTTCCCGAAGCCCAGTTTGATCAGTTTCACTCGATCACAGGGAGGCCCATTTCAGCCCATCAGATGCTCGATCGCAGGGTCTCGATGTGAAGACCACTATCTCGAACTTTCCTTATTTGACTTTTTTCGCTTATATAAGCAGCCTCTAAGAGTTTTCCCTAGGGCATCCAGTCTTTATTTTCAGTTTTTACCTAGACTCGTTTTGGTAGCCGCAGTGTGTTCTTCCTGCGACTTTGTATTTGCTTTCAAGTATTTTATAATTCAGTTTTTGTTTCAGTCTTTATCATTTCTTGTTATCATGTTTTCAATCGTTTCATTGCTATTGTTTTTTATTATGTCTGAGTAGTGAATTGTATTTCTGAGGATGGGATAGAGTAGTCGTGGTTGTCTTAGTCGATTTAGATGGTTGAGTTTAGATTGTTTGAATCCCTTCTGGATTAGTTGCGCTTATTGCTTGTTCCTTTCTGATCAACTGGAAAATGAATCCAGACATTCCCGCACCCAAAAGGTGTTTGATGGAATGTCTGATCCACTAATTCCAGAGATACTCGTCTCTATCCCAAGGTATTGGCCGTTTAGAGTGGGTATTGGCTTTAACAAGTTGATTCGGTATTGCTTGCTTAGTTAGAGATCGCTAATGGTGATTAGGTCTGTGTCTAGCTCTGCTTGAGAATTTCTATCACGGTGGTGAATTGATTTGCTTTTGAACTTGTTGTCAAGGGATAGCTTCTGTGAAGTTTTGTCAACCGTCTAAATAGATTAAGGAGACCACGCTATTCGATTACCCTGTCCTTAGGAATCTCTCATCCATTTGATTGCCTGCTATCTTACCTACTTTGTTATTCAACTGCCTGCTATTGCTAGTTTACATTTCAGTTTCATTTCATATCTGTTATTTCGCATTAGGATTATTAGAAAACAACAACTCTCTGCTTGGCTTGACTTAGCAAATTCTGATCACATCTCATCTGTTTGCATCACACTAGATTGGATTGACACCCTATAGTACTACAACGACATGATAGTGCTTTAGGTTTAATTGATCTAAAAATCTATATCATAAGGCTTTGTCTATGTTTATCTAAATTAGGTGGATTCCTTTACTTAGTAAATGTTTGTTCTTATGTCTTGTTGAGCGAGTCATCAAGACTTAGAGCTTGCGCTGTATCAGAGTCTTATCACAACTCTGTTGTGGATGTAGGATTCACACTCGATTGTCTTTAAGTATTTTTGCGGAGAAAAAACTCTAAAATCAAAGGATGAAAATAAGAATATGAACAGGAAAGTAACCAAGAAACTAAATAAAGCGAAAGAAGTTGATAAGAACAAAATAGTAAAGAGCTTTGCGAAATTGTAAGAGAGAAAGTATGTTGTATTGCTTGATTATAAGAGGTAAAAAGATTGTCCCCCCCAAACACATGCGTTTGAGGTTGTTTTTATAGAGAAAACATGATCAATGCGGTCATTTACTGCTCATAATCGCATTGACCCGCATTAATCATGTAGGTTACAATTTGACCGAAACGGCTTGAATTTGAACTATCTTAGGCCTCGCATGGATCTTCCGAACTCTTTCTTGTTGACTCCGAACTCCTGCGTCTTGACGCTGCCGCGAACCTCGAACAATATTCTCCTCGCTTCGGCCTTTCTCTGTGCGAGCTGTATGCTGAATAAGAGCGAACTCCGTACTGGTAAAGATCGAGCTCTTTAATAAACTGAATCGAACTTCCGGCTGGTCGAGCTCGATTCTCCTAATGAAATACCTAGAAATCCAAGAGGATTATTATGTAATAATGACGTGGACAGATCCAAATGGATCCTACCGAAAGTGTGTGGGATCCAACCCCAACATTTAGCCCCCCAAGTCTTGCGAGCTGAGTGCTTGGCTTGGAAGACTTAAGTAGATAGTAATTAATGACTCGAGATCTTTAACACTCTGGAATTTCTCCATGTTTTACGCTATTACGCCGATCTCGGATAATCAGATGATTTGATTTCCCTGACAATCGTGATCATTAATTTCCTAATTTTATATTAATACCACGGGAAAAACTGTCCCACTTCCCAATATTCTCGAGGCGGTTTTTCGCTAAATAAGGTTAAATGGAACGACGGCTTTTACAGCAGCGTATATTTACCCCAAAAGCTTTTACCAAACCAGAAAAAGAGAAACCTCTTAGTTAAAGATGTCTTCCCCAGCCGTCTATGTTTCGGAAAACGAAGATGACAGTCAAGGAATCCCTGTTCCCAGAGGGGATGAAGTCTTCACCCAAAGGGGAGACAAATTTGGTCCGCACTTCAGGTCTCAGTCGATCTCTGCTTCCCTTGGCGCTCTTCGCCGCCTTTGTAACATCCCCCAAGAAATTGAATTCTCTCTTCCTAGACCCAACGAGTCTCCAGAAGTGGTGCGAGAGGGTTACTGTTGTGCGTACGAAGTCTATTTCAAAGGTTGTGGTTTGTTTTTTCCCGTTCCGGAATTTCTTCTTTTATACCTCCTCCACCCACTACAAGAAATTCGGTCATTGATAGTACACTAAAAACGCTACTATATCGATTTTGTAGCGTTTTCATGAACGCTATGACAGAAGGAGCTATAATAGCCTCACCCCATATGATAGCATTTTTTTGAATGCTATGGAAAATGAACCTATTATAGCAAGTATCATATGCTATTGTATAAGTTATTCTAGCACTTGTTTCGTGCCACTCTATAATATGTCATGGCTTTTTATTAGTGCCATAGAATATTTTATTATGACACGATTACAATGTTGTTGAATACAGTTATTTGGCTGCCAAAATTGTGCACCTATTCGATCAATTCTGGGATTTATAAAAACCTATTGTGAAACAAAAAATCATAAAACAGCAATGCTTTTTCATTTAAGATCCAAAGCATACAAAGTGTACACATACATCATGAACTCTAAAAGAGAACATGTAAACATACATCAAACCAGTTCATAAACAAAACAGAAAGTCTTTATCAAGTTCTCAAACATAGCTAAACTTAATTAAAAGCAGAAAACATATTTCATTCCATCATCAGTTCAGATTAAGCAATTGAGTTCACTCCTGAAAACAAAAATATCTTAGATTAGTATGACATAGGTAAAATGAATCACAGCAAATTAATGATTACAAATCTCACCATTAATGGTTCCACTTTATCTTCTGGCCATGCAATAGAGGTTCCAAATGCATCTTCCATACACTCGATCTCAGAAGATCGTCTCCAAACTGCAGCATCTTTATCCTTGACAACATCCACCCAGACTCGACATGCTTTAGGGCCCAAAGGTACAAAGTGGACAACACTGGCAGGATTATTGGATGACCAACGTCCTTCAGCAACGACGTGGTTCTTTCTGATCAGATCTATCAACTTACATTTTTGATTTTCCTTGAATGCAACAGGCTACAAAGACAACCAACAAACAACCAGACAAACAATTAAAACAACAAACCACAATCAATCATGTTTATCAAAGTCAACAGCCCAACCATCAATCATGTAACACAGTAAATTTAAAAGAAAGTACCTGCAATTTACGACGAGGAGATGCGCGCGCCGCTTTCAAAGTTGTTGCTGGTTTCTTTACAGGAGCTTTTGGAGTTACTGGAGACTTCTCATTCTGATAACCTGTACTTGATGCTTTAGATGTAGATGGTTGAAGAGGAGGAGATTCTGGAGTTGTCTCCATCACAACTCTATTTGCAGGCCATGCTACAAAACAGTTCAAAGAATCCTCCACATTTCTCATGTTAACTGTAGGCCTCCATAGATATGCCTTAGGGTTTACTACCACATCCACATATACCTTCATTGCATTTGGACCAAGAGGAAGTCCATTTACCAACGCTTTAGGTTCTCGAGTCTGAAATCGACCTTCAGCGATCACTTGATCATTTGTACTATAATCCATGAGTTTGCATTTGTTCCTTATACTTGTGCCAGGGCTCTGCGAAATTCAAATGTACCAAACAATGAAAAGAAAAAATAATTATCAAAGACTCAGATATAGATAAAGAGCATCTACAAATAACAAAAGTTAAGAAACTTAACCTTAGGTGCTATGTCTTCTGGTATACTACCATCAGTTGGAACAATACAGTAATCAGCATCCCATGCAACCATTTCGCCAAGTACATCCTCAAGAGTAAACATGTCAGGTGCAGGTCTCCAGAGAAATGCTTCTGGTTTAGTAACTAATTCAACTAAAACCTTGACAAAGTTAGGCCCTAAAGGAATTCCATTCACCAACTCATCCTCATCATAAGAAACAACACGTCCCTCAGCGACATTCTCATCAGGACAGGACCAGTCAACCAAATAACACTTGGGAAGTGATTTGGTGTTTACACTCTACATGAAAAACAAACAATGAGAAATCAACTCATAAATATAAACAAAGGCAATATATAAATAGCTGGTACATACTCTATGAATCGAGTTTTCACCGATGTCAGACCCTTGTCTCTGTAATAAGATCTGCTCTAACTCATGAACCTTTTTCTGCAAACGAATCTGCTTTTCTTCCATTGCAGCCATACATTTGCTCTTGACTTGGAAACAAGCCAATTTTGTCAAGCTCATACCTCTACCCATTGCTCTCAATCTTCCAGGATTATCAGGTCCCAAAATCTGTGTAAGCATATCTTCCTTTGGATTCGTTGTCGTTGAATCATTAAGACTTTCAGTGTCTATCTCTTTTGCCTTTTGCTGCAAACACAATTACAGATCATAAGGTGGACCAAGCAGGATATCCAATTTCTAAAATCATACTGATAGGTAAAGTCAATACTTACAATCTTTTCAGCAGCATTAATATTTATAGGCGTACCATCCTTCCTAGTACGCGACTTGACCCAAACTTTTAGCCTTGTGATCTTAGATGGTTCTGAGCTACTCTTTACCAATTCTTCTCTCAATCTGACCATTCCTTTACGCCCACAAGTGTGAGGTATCTGCTTCTTCCTTCTTGCCTTAAATGAATCACTTACAACCTGAATTAGAATGAAAAAAAAGGTGAGTATTCTACAGGCCAATAAACAAAGACAACTAAGTGAATACCTTGAAGGCGTTACTAGTCTTGGCTTTGACAAAGAGACGCCATGCTGTTGGAGGTACATTATTCGGTCGCAGACTCATCCTATCTTTCATGGTTCTAGCTTTCTTAACCTTGCTCACCAGACGTGATTTGGAGGCTCTCCAGAGACATCCCATCTGCTTAAACACAGCATTCTTCTTATAGTCTTCGTCAATGTCAAACCTTGCCTTCATTCAAATGCACCAGGAAAAGAAAAAACAATTTACTAATGTGAGGCAAGTTAAACTTAAAATGTGGATAATTTAATTATAGCTTACCTCAATAGATTTCCACAGAACAGTTTTGATATCTTCACCAACTTTTTTCCAAGTGTCGATTATGACAGGAACATGTTCCCGTACTAACGGACCCAAGTATGATGATAACAGCACTGACCCTGGGCCACAATGTTCTCCCATATCAGTGAAGTCAACATGTTGCTTTTCATTTGGATCCTTGGCAATGTGTTTCATCTTCGTTGGTCCTCGTTGCTTTTTACGCTTTGGTTCAGCAACTATATCATCATCTGCCGCCTGTTCTTCAGGCACATTCTGTGTTTGCTCATCATCTCCATTAACTACATCATTACCAAATTCTTCATTCTCCTCATCTGCCGCCTGTTCTTCAGAGTTCTCTTCTAACTCATCTTCTTCATTCAGGCTACCTGCAGCTCCAGTACCTACATCATTACCAACTTCATTAACTACATCATTACCAGCTCCATTAAGTAAATCATGACCAGCTTCTTCAGTCTCTATATCTGCCGCATGTCCTTGAGCAATGTTCTCTTCTAACACCTCTTCCAAGTCCCTTGTCTTTTTGGTTACCCGCTTGTTGTTACGATTGCCCATCTTAGTTCACCTGAAACAAAAGAGACAAATGTTAGAATACAGTTCATAGATGAAACACCAGTGAAAAAACAGACACACACAAAGAAACCAAGATGTATAACACTCAAATCAAAAGCAATAATGATCCAATTTAATTAAAAACGAATTCCTGGCCATCATAGATCCACAAAAAAAAACGAAACACTATTCTTTCAAACATAAATTCCTTCACAATCATGACGGGCATTTCTAGCTTCATCAACCAAGTCATCAGCTTCCATGTCCACTACTGCTGGCAATGGCCCCACATCTGAATTTCCATCTTCAGATTCTTCTTCACTGTATCTTCTTGTAGGACCTCTCATAGCTACATACCAACTAGATGACTCATCTACCCTTGAATAGAACACTTGCTTTGCTTGAGAAGCTAATATGTAGGGATCTCTTGCAAATGAAACTTGACTTTGGTTAAGGTTGACTAGCGTGAAGCCATCTTCTTTCTTGACTCCATTACCTATGTTTGCCCATTGACACCGGAATAGAGGAATGTAGAAAATGTTGTAATCAAGAAGTATAATCTCTACCACTCTGCCATAGTAGGATACAAAGTCAACCATCTGAGAAGTGACTTTCGCACTGGCTCTACACATTGCTGTGGCCTCATATAAGACCCCACTGTTCTGAGTTTGTCTATCAACTGAAGTAGTGTGAAACCGTTGCCCGTTGACAATGTAACCCGTGTAAGACCTTGTGCAATTACGAGGACCGTAAGCCAACCATTTAAGCGTATCTTCATGTTGTTCTGAACTGAGAGGTATCTATTTCAAAAAATTTTAAAGTGTCAGTGTATATTGAAGACAAGTATAGCTACACCAAAAAATAAATAAGGGTGACTCAAGTATGAACTTGCCTGTTCTTTTAAGCAAGACGCAAATTTCTGAGTATGCGTACTCCATAATATTGTCGCATCACGTCTACATCTTTCATTAGAATCTTGTAGTTGTTGAAGGTGCATGCTTAAATCGAAATAAAAACCCAATATTAACAGGCTGATGTATCTATTAGAAATGACTGGTAGATATAACAAAAATTGAGAAGAGACTGTTAAGAGTACTTACTCCACATAAGGATCCACTAGAGCCATATTATGAATCACAGCAAGGTGGGCTATGTTCTTCTCTTTCTCAGTAAGAGTACATGATGTGGCTGCGGATATCGGACGACCCTCTAGTATAGAGCTGCTCTCATACTCATCATTTCTGTCAGATTTTTCCTCAACACTAGTTGTATTTTTCAAGAACTCACGGCAGAACCTCATGCATTCCTCAGCGAGATACGATACAGCAATACAACCCTCAGGTCTTGCAGTGTTTCTTACAAAGTCCTTAAGAACTTTCATGTACCTGCAGATAAAGCACATTGAAGATTAAAAGCCAGAAAAGCTAATTGTATAAGAAATAAAGTTAGAAGTTATCCATTTGTACCTCTCAAATGGGTAAATCCAACGAAAATGGACTGGTCCACATAACCGAGCTTCCCTGCCTAGATGTACCGTCAAATGCACCATTATATCGAAGAAACTTGGAGGAAAGAACCTCTCAAACATGCAGAGAGTTTCAACAATTTCAGTTTCCATTACTGAAATTGTCTCTCTGTCGATAACTCGCTGACATAGGTGGTTGAAAAATGCGGATAAGCGTCCAATAGCTATCCTAACACCTTTAGGTAACAAACCTGAAAATAAATAGCATTGAAGATTAAAAGCCAGAAAAGGTAATTGTATAAGAAATAAAGTTAGAAGTTATCAATTTGTACCTCTAATCGCAACCGGAAGTAACTGTTGCATCAACACATGATAGTCATGAGATTTAAGTCCTTTGACCGTAGAATCTTCTATTTTCACGCACCTGGAGATATTTGAGCAATATCCATCCGGACCTCTGAAATCAAAAAGGCGCTTACAAAATAGTTTCTTCTCTTTCTTGGATAAAGACCAAGGAGCTGCAGGCAGGTACATTCTTTTTCCACGGGGTTGGGGATGTAAATCCTTCCTAATACCAAGCAGTTGCAGATCTTTTCTAGCATTAAGCCCATCCTTTGATTTACCGCAATGCAATAGTGTTGAGACAATGCTAGCAACGACATTTCTCTCCACGTGCATAACGTCTAAATTATGTCTAACCGGCAGTTCCTAGGCCCAAACAAAAAGACAGAAAAGAATACTATATGTTAAAGACAGTTCAAATAGATCAATTCAGAAATGATATATAGAAAAAAAAAACAAAAAAACATTAGGAACATACCTTCCAATAAGGCAATTTGAAAAGGATTGACCGTTTCTTCCATCTAGATAACTCATCCTCATCTACTGGTTCATCCTCTTCCTCTGATTCACTGGTTTCATCATTAGAATCTGAGCCTGAACCAACACTTTCTTTCATATTCCTCTTCCTTCCAGTTACTCTCACATTCCCAAAATCATTCTTGTAATTTTTCAGTAGTTGGTATATGTTATGACCACTCAGAATCCGACCTCTTCTCCCATGCTCAGCTTTACCATCGAACCATACTTTCTTTCTTCGATAAACATGTGTTGGTGGCAAACCCTTCCGATGGCACATATATACGTGCTTTCTGCAATTAGTCAGCCACATACTGTCTGTGTGTTTTCCACACACAGGACATGCCATTTTTCCCTTGACTTTACAGCCCGCAAGATTTCCATATGCCGGAAAATCTTGTATGGTCCAGAGAAGCATCGCCCTTAACGTGAAAGTAGTGTGACTGAATGCGTCATACGTTGACTCTCCCTTCTCCCACAGATGATTTAGATCCTCTATAAGGGGTTCTAGGTACACATCTATATTGTTTCCAGGTTGTGTTGGACCAGGAATCAGTAATGACAACATGATGTTCTCCTCTTTCATACACTTGTCAGGTGACATGTTGTAATTGACTAACAAAACAGGCCAAGCACTATAGTTAACATTCTTCATGTTAAACGGATTAAACCCATCTGTCGAGAGTCCAAGCCTAATGTTCCTTTCTTCAGAGGCAAATGATGGGTACATGTCATTCATTTGATCCCACGTCACAGAATCCACCGGATGACGAATTTTCCCGTCAGTGCTCTTATTACTAAAATGCCACCTTAAGTCTTTCGCCATGTCTTCAGACCTGAACATCCTCTTGAGACGTGGAATTATCGGAAAATACCTAAGTACTTTCTGTGGAATACCTTTCTTCACCTCGCCAGTGCGGGTGTTAATCTTCTAACGTGAAGCGTCGCATTTCGGACAATTGTTGAGCTTCTCAAACTGCTTCCTGAATAAACAACAGTCGTTCACACAAGCGTGTATCTTCTCGTAACCCATATCAAAAGATCTAAGAAACCTCTTCACCTCGTACAACGAGGTGTGCATTACATTGTCCTTGGGTAGCATCCGTGGCAAAGTCTGAAGCAGAAGATCAAAACTTCTGTCAGACCAACCACTCTCTGTCTTTATCCTAAAGAGTTCAACTATCGCCGATAGCTTGCTGTGGTTTGCACAACTTGGGTATAGGGGCGTTTCTGCATCGGCTAGCTTTGCAAGAAACTCATCTTCTAGCTTATCCTCAGCCTCAGCACCCTCACATAAATCTGCCTGCCTAACCAACTCTTCATCTCTAAACTCAGCAGCTTGGTATAACCCCAAAATCTCTTGGTTCCACTGACTTGCATTGCTTCTACTCTCAGTCCCTGATTGCACTTCTCCATGATGATACCAATCCTCTCTCATCTTGTAACTCAAATCCATTCCTCTTGTTACAAGATGATCAACGACAATACCGGCTGAGTGACGATCTACGTTGCGACAGTCAATGCAGGGGCAAATAATCATCTCCATTTCTCCTAAAGCTGCAGCCACAGACCTCACAAAATCCCAAGCACCTCTCTCATAATCCGGTTCAGCTCTTAAGTAAATTAAGATGAGACCAAAAAACAATAAGAAACCTTAACTCTCTTAATCTCCCATTAAACCCTTAAGTATATATATATATTGTTTTTACATACCTGTTCAGATGAACCCATGACTTTTCGACCATTATATGTTCTTACCCATAAGCAAAACATAAAAACTCATAAGAATAACTCAAAGACCAAACAGACACCATAAGCAAAACATAACAAACCTATAATAATAACTCAAACACCAAATCGTTTTCATTGACATTCACATTAACAAGATTAAAGAGACAAGTATTAAACCAAACAAGAAATTCAAAGTCAAAAACATTGGAACCTACAAACAATACCGTTATATGTTCTTACCCATAAGCAAAACATAAGAAAAGATAAACTGATCAAACACCAAACAGACTGTACCATAAGCAAAACATAACAAACCCATAAGACTAACTCAAACACCAAACACACATTGACATTCACATTAACAAGATTAAACAGTCAAGTATTAAACCAAACAAGAATTTAAAAGTCAAAAACAATGGAACCTGTAAACAAGACAAACTGCTTTAAGCTTCTGAAGATTGGTTTTGTGAGTTTTAGTCGTCAAAAGATCCAACCTGCAAACTAATAACAGAAGCTAAGAACCCTAACCTAAAGATTGTCTTCTGAATGTATATCTCGATTTCAATTGCAGAAATAAACAAAAATCAAAACCAGATTTCAAACAAATAAAAGAGCCATAACCTGAAGCTTATATTCGTGTTAGGTCCTCGAAGATTTCTCTAGAGCTACAATGAGAGTAAATAGAAAGTAATTAGAGAAATCGAATTAACACATTGAGAAATCGAAGATTATATCTACAGTTCATTACTACAGATCTGAGTTGCCTACCTGTCGTGGGTTTCTTCTTCGATTTTGCAGATCTCCGGAGACGACACCAACACAGCGACGGAGACGACAACAACTCAGTGACGGAGAAGACATGCACCAGCTAAAGGGTTGATTTTCCTTTTCGAAACCAGAGAGAAATCGAGGGAATCGACTGGAGATCGAGGGAATCGAGAAGACAGAGGTGGCGGAATGACCGGAATTGGGTTTCCTGGTCGCCGGAAAATCGAGGGAATCGAGAAGACAGAGGTGGCGGAATGACCGGACAGGTTTCGATTTTTAGAGAAAATGACCTAAGTGTGTGAGAGTGTTTGGCTAAGTGTGTGAGAGTGTTTGGCTAAGTGTAGAGTCGCGGAAAAAACAAAGTTTTGGCTAAGTGTTTTGCCTCCAAAATGATTTTCTTTGCTACAGTAGTGATTTTTGGGTTCCCGCTTAGTGAAATTCTATTCCAGCACTAAATTAATGCTACAATATAGTTGCCATCCGATTTTGTAACTTTTAGTAGCAGTTAGTGAATTAGTGCTACAATGATATGCTACCAATGACCGAATTTCTTGTAGTGACCTAGGGATTGCCTTTCCCCAAATGGCTCCCAACTTCCTTCGATACGTTCTGAGTACCCTGACCGTTTCGGCAGAAGCAGGGTTTTCCCTCTCCACCAGCGAACTCTTAGGGCTATTTCGAGCCCGTGAATCCGCAGCAGCGGGTATTTTTTCTATAAACCCTATCCTTGAACGTAACATGATCGATGGAATGCCCTCGAATGATGGGCCTTGGCGGAAATACTGGTTCTTTTTCCGAGTCAATCCCCATTCCGTTCAAGGTCTTTCCGGTCTTCTTCTCGCCAATTGGTCGGCTAAACTTGGTTAAAAATCCAACCTTTACTACTTTCTACTGAATTAAGCAAAAGAGATGGAATTCTTAACCCAATTCTTTGTTTCAGGGAACCAGACGATCCCCCGCCCAACCGATGACTTCTTGTCCTTCTTTCGAATCGTTTCCGAGTGTGAAACAAATTGGAATTCCTTCACCCTTCAACGCATTCATAAAGCGGGGCTCGCCATTAAAGACGGTCAGACTCTCCCACTCGATCCTCCTCCCGAGGAGAAAGACGTCTCGAGCCTGAATGCCCGAGACAAAAGAAAGATGCAGGCTGAAATCAAGGCTCTTAAGGATCAGCTATCCGAAATCGGGAGAAAGAAACGGATATCTACAATCTCCAGGGTTGGTAACTTCCACAGGAAGACCCTCTTGGTTGATGATGGTTCGTTAGAAGCAGCCCTGTCAGCCACGGTGGATACTCTAGCAGCTAACGAGCAACGCATCAGAATTGCGAATGCTGAAAGAGATTCTGCGAGGTCTAATGCTTCTCGCTTAGAGGCTGAGCTAGTGGAGAATACAGCTTTGTTCGAAGGCAATTGCATTGCTTAAAGCTTGCTGATCAGCCATAATTTCTTGGTTTGAGAAAGAGAGATTTTGAGATTTAAAAAGTTTTGCGGTAAGTCTCCACAGGCGGCGCCAAAATGTGGATGTAGGATTCACACTCGATTGTCTTTAAGTATTTTTGCGGAGAAAAAACTCTAAAATCAAAGGATGAAAATAAGAATTTGAACAGGAAAGTAACCAAGAAACTAAATAAAGCGAAAGAAGTTGATAAGAACAAAATAGTAAAGAGCTTTGCGAAATTGTAAGAGAGAAAGTATGTTGTATTGCTTGATTGTAATAGGTAAAAAGATTGTCCCCCCCAAACACATGCGTTTGAGGTTGTTTTTATAGAGAAAACATGATCAATGCGGTCATTTACTGCTCATAATCGCATTGACCCGCATTAATCATGTAGGTTACAATTTGACCGAAATGGCTTGAATTTGAACTATCTTAGGCCTCGCATGGATCTCCCGAACTCTTTCTTGTTGACTCCGAACTCCTGCGTCTTGACGCTGCCGCGAACCTCGAACAATATTCTCCTCGCTTCGGCCTTTCTCTGTGCGAGCTGTATGCTGAATAAGAGCGAACTCCGTACTGGTAAAGATCGAGCTCTTTAATAAACTGAATCAAACTTCCGGCTGGTCGAGCTCGATTCTCCTAATGAAATACCTAGAAATCCAAGAGGATTATTATGTAATAATGACGTGGACAGATCCAAATGGATCCTACCGAAAGTGTGTGGGATCCGACCCCAACATCTGTGGTGCACTTCGCCCCGCCATCATTTTCCCTCATTTGATCCCACACGAGAGAAGCGACCGCCATCGTGTCAGATTTCCACCTTCGACCATCTTTCCTTCAGAAGAGAGAAGCCATCTCCAGCATGTGAAGCCGCCATATCTATCCGCATACGAGTCTCACCACTGAGTCTTATTGTATCACTAGCCCTTAGACCATCCGCACATCCGGAGATCGGAATCTCCGATACCTTACCACGGCTTACACCCACCTTGACTACACGGATACGTTCGGTCAAAGAACCGTGTTGCCTCTCTTGATCGCCGATAGAAAGCTCGGCTCCGCAAACTCTCCTTCTAACTGTATTTATCTCGGTAAATGGCTTAGAGTTTCTATGGATTTTTAGGTGTTTATGCGTGTCGAGAAATGAAGGAAACGCCTTCTATTTATAGTTTTTCCGGATAAAACCGTTTTACCCCCAATGGTGTCCATTCGGTGAAAAACGCTTGTTCGCATGTTTTCGCCGAAACCGCTCATTCACACGTGTTCGCCGAAACGGCTCATTCACACGTGTTCGACCAAACCGTTCACCCGTGTCTGTTCGGCCAGCGAATGTAACCGTCAACCCAACCGCCTTACTACCTTTCCACCCGACTGTGGATGTCGGATTCACACACTTAAGTATTTTTATTAAGTAGGAAAGATTACTCTTGAGGGACAAAAATGAATATGTAAAAACTTATGAATTGCTACGAAAATTGCTATAGTATTTCTTTCTTGAGAGGAAGATCCCCCCTTACATGGCCATTGGCCTTTGTAGTTATACCTAAGAAAACGACATTAAAATGGCTAATTAAGTATAATTATTCTCTCTTAAATGTGTCCGTTTTGATCTTTGGCTTTAATGCTTCAACGTTTGAATTTGAGTTGACTCTGATCTTCATGGGCCCCGCCTTTTGGCCCAAATGTCCTTAAACCGACTCAACCGTGACTTCGATGCCAGACTCATGCCGAAATGCAGTCACTTCGGATTCTACTTGTGGCGATACCCACTTCGACTGTTCCTTTGGCTCACTGATCTGACGGGCTTTATCCTTTATGGGTCTTCATCTTGTCTACGTGGCAATCTTTGGTTGGTCCCGGACTTCTGGTGCGGGATCCGACACCAACAATTAGCCCCCCAAGTTCTTCGAAGTGCCATTCCAATTCGGAGAACTTTAAATGCTTAAATGACCAAAGATTGCGCTCGAGAATCTTTCTGATTTCCCGCCGAAAATCTCATCACTCCCTTAATTTCGGCACTAGCCATTTCTACTCGAGTGACATCTGTCATCATTATGACCGTATCTTAATTATTTACTATTAAAGCGGGAAACCTTTCCACTTCCCCCACAATTCCCAAGGCGGTTTCACCATTATCACTTAACTTCCGTGAGGTAACTTCTTTCATCATTACTTCTTTTACTTTTGCGTTTTTAGCCGAAATTTCTCTCTTCTCTTTCTTCGCCGACTCTTTCTTTGCCGGATTTTAAATTCCTCATCTTCTCCGATGATTTATGACTCCGAAAGACCCGAGTCTCCATCCTTTGAAGGTGGCTCTAGTAATGACGAATGCACTCGTCCTAACGATATCGCTGGTCCGCACTACAGATCCACCTGTACCCTTCAATCGCTAGAGCGATTAAAGGGGCTTTGCCAGATCCCCCCCGGAATCATAGCGGAAGCGCAGATAGCCAACCCTACGGAGTCCCCGGAAAACCACCGTGATGGCTATTTTTGTGTCTATGAAATCTACTTCAAGGGCTGCGGATTGACTTTCCCCCTTCCCGAAGCCTTAGTTCGATACCTAGCGGCTCTTGAGATCGCTTTAGCTCAATTAACCCCCAATCTCCTCCGAACTATCCTCGGAATCATAACCGTTGCGGCGGAAGCGGACTACATTATCGGGGTCCCCGAACTTAAGGAACTTCTAAGTGTGAGAAGTTCGTCAAAGAAAACAGGATACTTCTCGGCATACCCAAATGCCAATAGAAACGTCATCTCGCACCTCCCGAACAAGGATGAAAACTGGCACCATCCTTGGTTCCTGATTAAGAAAACTCCTGCTTTGATTGGGAATCTTTCCGATGTACTCCCATCGAAGTGGTCTACGAAGCCTGGTAGAGACTAGGTCGTATATTCCTTTCCTGGCTATTATTATTTTTTTACTGATCAAATTCGTTGTTTCACTTCGCAGCTCTCATCGC